TACCTTCTAGGGTAGAATTAATATATATACTTATCTCTAAGATATTCCTTATAGTTATTAAAGAAGCACTATAGCTAGTAGAGGTATTAATAGTAGTTACTTTCTATATATAAATATAGGTAGTTATCTAGCCTAAACTCTAGTTTATAGTTTCTATCACGCTATTCTCCTGAGGTGCCAAAGAATTTAAGTATCTATTTGTCCTTTATAGGATTAATTCTCTAGTACTAAAGGCGTTTACTAGCCCTAGTAGTTTCATCATTAGAGTCCTCTTTAGAGCTAGTATTATTAATATTAGGTTTATACCTATAGATAGCTACTATCTAAGCACGTTATTATATAATATTATAAGGCTTATCTAAGTTATAGGTTAGTTCTTATTTAAGGCTAATATATTTAGACGTCTCAAACTATCTATTTTCTTTAAGGGCCCTATATTCTAGGAGGCTATTAAGTTATTCTTAAGCCTTACGCTTAAGTTTACTATTACTTCTATATCCTATAGCAATAGTTTATTAATTTAGGGGTCCACTAATATTCTTTACTCTAGTAGTATTATATCCCATTCTACTAGGGTTCTTAGGGTACTATCCTATATATTCCTTAGAGTCTAAGTAAACTCTATAGTTATTATTAAAGTAGGTAGTCTAACTAAGTTATTTATAAGGGATCGCCTTAGTAATAGCACTAACTTATCTTTTCTTAAGTACTAGCTAGAAGCGTTCTTTCTTAAGTGCTCTATATTCTTTTATAAGGTATCTATTCTTATTATAGTTATAGCACTTAATATTCTTCTTCTAGCTATTACCCTTATTATTATCATTACGCTAGGCCGCGCTGAGATCCATAGGTCCACTATAGTGCCCATAGGCAGTACTATTACATTTATTACGTTAATTATTATTATAGTATCTAGGCTACTACTAGTACTTATAGCTAGAGTTAGTAGGTTATTATTATTTACCTTTCTCCTTATATTACTTATATAGTTAGTTATTAATCTTAATAGTAAGCTTAATATACTAGAGGAAGTCCTTAGGTCTATTAACCTTAATAATTTTATCCTTAACTTTATCCTTAAGGTTATTATAAAATATAAAGATCTTACCTTTATTAGTTAAGTCTAGCTAGGCGTAGATCTATTAGAACTCTATAGCGTAGTCCTTAGCTAACTTAGTCTATTTAAGGTAAAGTAAGTCTTATTTAGCTTATTATTTCTTATTAGGGTCTTAAAATAGGGACTTTAGGGCAGACTTAAAGCCCTAAAAGCTACTAAAAATATCTCTAACTTTAATAGAATAGTAGTTAAGTATTTCCTTATTAAGGTACTCTTTAAGGAAGGGTTCAAACCACTAGAGGGCTTATCCCTTAAGGAAGGTAGATATATAGATAACCTTCTTAGTTCCATTCTTAAAGTTACTATAATAGAAATTCTAATAGTTCTTAACTTAGATAAGGAATCCCTTAAGCTATCCTAGGGATCTATTAAAAGGATTAGGAGAGTTAAGTTAAAGCTTCTCTTATCCTTCTATAATAGGGATAATAATAATATTAGCAGCAGCTTAAAGAGTATAGTTCTACTATTTAAGTTCCTAGGTACGCTAGTTAGATAGGCATATAGCAGCCTAAAGTTCTTTAGTAGTATAAGCATTAGCATTAAATATTTCCTATATCTATTAGATATTATAGTTAGCTCATTTAAGCTATTCCTTAAGCATATTATTATTATTACTATTACTATTATCTTTTATTCTCTAATCCCTAAGTTCTTAAGTAAGGTTCTTCTTAATAGGGGCCTTCCTAGCGCTAGAGGAAGATCCAATACTAGGGGTCTTTCTAGAGAGTTATAAGGACATTATAATACTATTAATAGTTTCTCAAAAGGTAACTTACTAAATAGGAGCAATTAAAGTATTATAGCTAGCTAACTAATAGTAGGTTTATATTAATAGTAAGTTAGGAATTAAAAACTATAAATAGTATTAAGTCGTTCTATAGGGCTATTTAAGTAATTATAGGTCTTTAAAGGTCTTAGTAATTAGTTAAGGCCTTAATAAGAGTTATAGAGTAGTTATCACTTAGGTATAGCTAAAAGTACTAATAAGGGTAGTTATAAAGTTAATTACTAAAGAGCTATAGAAGTCTATCCTTAAGCTAGACTTAAGTCCATCCTATATATAAGTCCTAGATACTTCTCTTCCTATATAGACCGCAATCTAAGAGTTAGTCCTCCTTAAGGACCACCCTTAGTACGTCAGTCCTAATCCTTATCCTAGTCCTAGGACTACTTATCAAAAGTTGGTCCTACTTATCATCACGTAACTTATACTATAGTTCTTCCGTTCCAGGCAAGCCCCTCATATTCCCGTAATCCTACATACAAAGGTAACGTTCTAACCGCCCGGTATCCTTATAGGGCGTTCTTCGTTGGTTATGCCTAACGGGTCGTAACAAATATCTACAGCGCCTCTTCATCTGGGCCAGTCGATCCTACCAACTTGGGCGATTGGTTCGTTTAAAGTCGGTTCATGATGGATGCTATGTTTGAGAAGCATACGCAGCCACAATTGTTTCGAAAACAAAAGATGCATGTGACTAAGTCGGCGCGTTCTCGTGGAAATGAAAGACAAGTTCATCGTTAGTCTTTCTCGCGATAAGTAATTAGTAACAAATTCTACCCATTGTTGTTTCAATGAGAACTTACCCTGGCCGACCTGCAAAGTGTTCCATGGCGCAGCACTTTATTAGTCGAATCAGAACATATCAGTATCAAGTTGTGGACACTCAGACGCAGCGTTGCTGACCAATTTACATGTTGTACCCACATTCCGGACTACTCCTACAACGTGATCATTCGACGGGTAGCTCCTTGAAGACCCGTAATAAAGAAAGCAGATTACTGATCCCGAGGCTAACTTTGCCCTAAAGATCTCGGATTGAGGGGCATTTCACCGGGCACGATGACGACATGTCAAGTTGAGCCTGCCGCCGATTAACATGTAGTCGCATCAACAGTGGACATCCATAATCCCGGCCGCCACAGTCGCGCTGGTGAATTTCACGTTTACTCGGACCTCCAGTCGCCTCCTCCGTCTCGAGCATCTCCCTCACTCCGGTGTCTGACTTGAATCATCCCATCCAAAGCCGACCTATGACGATATCTGCGTAAGACGAGCAAGAGTTTGTGATTTGCCTCAAGTAACAAAGAACTTTGCTTTTGGATCAGTGCTACTACTTCAATTCCATCTCGCATACATGTGTCGTATACCCATCCTCCTCTATATCTTATTCACTCTGGTCGCTGCCACACGATCAACCCACTCTTCCGTCTTGACGACTTCTTGCGCGAAAAGCGGCCACACCAGCTCGGTTGCAGCATCAGTCAGCGCCTTGGTCCAGCCAGCAGTAGCATCCTTTCTGCAAGTTTCACCACGTATTAATATATCAACCGTCTCTTATTTTAGGTTTGCTGCTACTTACAAGATGGTGACATGGTAGCCTCTGGCATCATTCCACAAGATCATGTGAGTATGTATCCAAGAACAAGGGAGGGGAGAAGGGGTAAGCAACGCACAGTTCAAAAGCATGTCGCGCCGAAGATTCCAGACATGTGTTAGCTGTAAGCCCCGCGAATATGAGATGAGTGATTTCGCGTTGGCGCAGCTGAAAGTCCAAATCCGTGTTCTGGAAGGAGCTGTGGATTTGTGCAAGGTCAACGGGTCGCCTATGACTTTGATGGGAACTTGTAGCTCACTCGCTGTTCCAATGTTTGCTGGCCACAACATCACCTTTGGCCAAGTCCGGTTCTAAGCCGTCGAGAATCTGAGCGCCCCAAGAGCCCTCCTGGAAGAACTTCAGGCCGTTTTGCTTGACGTTGTTTGGAGTCATATGCTTCCATCCATTGAAGCTGTTCTCGGTGTACTGTTGGTGCAGGCCGTAGTAAATGGGAATGTCTTGAGATCTTGCTGCTGAAACAGCAGCCCGGATGTTTTCCACGGTCTGCTTTTCCTCAAGATCTGTTAGGCGTGGCGTCAGAATTCCCTCCGGGTGGAGGAAGTCGTTGTAGGGGTCCATCAGGACGAGAGCTGTGCGAGAGGCAAAAGACATGGTGGGATATCGAACTTTTTTGAAGGATCTTGATACTTGGTGCTACTTCATGTATACTCTGACGAGATTCGTGCAATTTATACCTGCTCTCGTCAACGTAGGGAGGCTGGCTGCTGAGGTTACTTTCTCCCTCAAATTTGTCATCATGGGCTCTTGCCTACGTCAAACCTTCAACTGAGGCCAGGGTTGCTCCGCCTTTGTCAGTCAGCCCGGCTCACTAATCAGTTGTTGGACGGTGCAGCATTGTCGGCAAAATCCCGATTTAGTCATCCAACTCCCATTTATGACCCAGTCCGCTGGGCCTTGGCGCTCAATCAGGGGTGTCAGCCGGAACGTCGCCGCACTATCTTCAACTATTGCATCGTAACTTGGACAGACCTATTACTTACTTTGGTGCCAGTGTCCTGGTTATATGGACATGAGATGTATAAAGAAACATGGAACATTCAAAGGAGCCAAGAGATCACATAGACTTACGCCTATCTTTGCGACTTGCCGTCCGCCATCCTTAAGGTCGAGAAAATGGCTTTAGAAGGCTATTGAAGCTTTGGAAGAAAGCCTTGAAATGGCACTACTTATTGTTGCCTATGTATTCTTTAGACAATGACTTTCTTGAGCATCATGCGTGGATCCTGGTATTAGATGATTGAAAGCGTTTGACGGTGATAGATGACCAAGGCTTTTAATGGATTCGATCGCTAATCGCAACGAAATCTTAGCTTTATTTTCAATTGAGACCTTGTCGTCATATTCTGACATGGAGGAACAGTAGCTAATACCTGCGGACAAACACATCCTCACCAACCGACCACAATCTCACATCACCATGCATTAAGGTTACAAATTTTGTTGCGTTGATGACGGTATTACAACAAGTGACTAACTTACATAAAAGACACTTCATAGCCCTAGCAGTATAGTTAAGGCTCACAGCCTTCAGATGAGCAATTCTGGTAACAAGCAGTAGCCCGTTGGGCCGTTGTCTTAGCATCAGATACATGTATCTCAAAAGACGGACCCCATCCCGATTCACATGTACAAATCGAATTACATTCTTCATTAAACCCTGCTTCAGATGGCAGGAGGCTGACATCACGTTACATGGCATTGCGTCAAGAAGATAGCTGTCGGGAACCGTTTCCGATGCGAATGCCCGGTTGAGGACAACGATCAAATCAGGCATGGTTTACATCACTTCAGGTCTTGTGAATATGTGCGAATGGCAATCAGACTTCTGAAATTTTGGTGTTGAATGAAATGATACAGACCACTTGGACGAGAAACCCCTTCTCAAATGAAGGACTAGCGATGTGTTGACTGGAGTAGCTGATGCCATGGATGCCGGGGATTTGATTGACCTGAGCCCTTCCAGCATGTCTAGTTTGGATAAATTAATGCACCTGTAAATACTACAACAAGGATTCTGTTGTAACGTTTCTAGAGGCTCTGTTGAACCCCTCAGTTGCCCTCGACGGGCTTTGGTATATTGGGTCCGTTTTATCATCTCTACATGTAGCTTCACTTCAGGCCTCCAAGCATCCGCCTATCATTAACCGAGTCTCCTTGGCAATAGAAGATTCGGACCCCATTCCGAGCCACACGTCAAACTGACATGGGGTTGATTCTCAAGTCAGTGGTAGCACGAGTGTCACCGCCTCTTATTATCCATCAGCGGAGGTGAACAGATATGCAATTCGAGGCAGAAGGAAACACGTACCAGATAACAGCAATACGACTCTAATTAATCAACCTTTGTGTAATTCTTTATCACAAGAACTCATTGATTCAGTTGCAGGAGCTTGATAGTGAGCTATGAGGGATTCGCGTCTTTACAAATTACGCAACCTGGATTACTTAAAGTGAAAGCTCCTCCTTCTCTCAATGTGTACACTATGTTTTGGCGCTTAAGAGCTAATAATGCACAGAATCTGCACTGTAATCGTTCATAAGTACCGGATGAAGTAACCGATGATACCGGGGATAGATAGTTAGCTCTTCTGGAACCCTGGATCTGTAAGGATTAATTCCTGTCATGTGGCCACTCAGAGAGTGCATCTTATTCAGTACCCGCATACCAAGACACTAGGAAGATAACCGCGATAAACCTCCTCAGCCAAATAATTCAGAGCATAGCAGATGGGACAATACGAAGTCGGTAAGGGTAGGACATTAGCTGGGAACATTAACATAGCCTGTGTTGACCGGTCGATACCGTACATGGAGACCGGATCATTCAGGACCTTGAATTCTGCAATGAAGCTGTCTATTCCTATGGTTTAAGAATCAAGATGATTACTTACACCGACAGACTCTTTGAGGTAAGCTTACAGAGATGTCAACATGCACGGGTCAGTTCAGAGCTGGGCCAAGATGATCGGCTCTACTCAAGAAGCCAGGTAGAGGACACTTTGTCTGAAAGATTACTTATGATACGCAAGCTTGATAGTCGAGCGCCTTTTGGTGACGCTCAATGATTGGCATCGGCTACCTGAGCCGTAGCCCCGGATGCGGACCCGGCCCCACATTACCCCGGATCACGGACGGGGGGCATCATTATCCTTGCGGGGCGATATGCCGCGAGCATTCAATCATGAACCCCACGGTGTCTTGGAAAACACCCGTTGGCTAGGCGGGGTACTGCATGGCGTTTCTTGTGAGATAAGATATGACATCGGACTTGAGAAACATGATGGTTCTGAGTATCTACGCATGGTACTTAAAGACGGACATGTAATGTCCGTGACACAGATTCTTCCCACTCCACTTCCATACCAAACACAACAATAAGACATTTCAGACAGACACGACAGAAACGACACAAGCAGCTATTGAACCTGACATGTTTTTCGACGTGCTACTCTGCAACCTTCACTCAACATGAATCCATCTTCAGCATCCAACATGCGGGCCAGTGGAAAAGGAGATCAAGAGAAACAGATGGCTCCTGCTCCAACACATGGCTCTATCCACCATGGCGAGGTTACCGTTAATGATGACAACATCGGCGACCTACACCGGAGCTTCAGTCCACGCCAGATTCATGTATGTTATGTTTAACATCGGCTACTATTTGAATTGATAGTGTACGAATACCGTGACTAAGACAACTCTTCAGATCATATCTCTCGGCTCTAGCATGGGTAGTGGCATCTTCATTGCGACCGGGAAAGCACTAGCATCTGGTGGGCCCGGCACTATGTTTCTGGCCTACTTGATAGTATGCAGTGGCGTTTGGGCTAACCTTCAGATTCTGGGTGAGATGACCATAGCCTTCCCGGTCTCGGGGAGCTTTGTCGACTATGCCGGTCGATGGGTTGATCCTGCTTTGGCATTCGGTGCGGGTTTTGCTGAATGGCTCGGTGAGTTTACAGCTACTAGACTAACAAAATGTTGCCCATGTCCTAACGTTATTTGCTTCTAGGCTGGATCGCAGTATTCGCAGCCGAAGCTGAGTTCTTCGTCGTTTTAATCAGATACTGGGGCGACGCAGTTCCACACGCAGCATTGAGTTTGTTCCCTAGGTCAATTTCAGCCAACGTTCCCCGTACTAACGGTCAACTCTACAGTAACCATATTTCTTGCGCTCTGCCTGATAGTATTTTGCCTGCCGAACAAAGTCTTTGCTTGGTTGCAATGTTTTGGGTCTCTCGTGAAGATTATTCTTTTCGTCTTCGTTGCCGCGCTGTCGTTGGCGTTGATCGCCGGCGCTGGCCCAACTGGAGTTGTCAGAGACGGCAGCTACTGGCGTGATGGTCAAGCCTTTCAGAACGGATTTGGGGTGAGTTTCACTTTATCATCTTACAGGTTTTACCATTTTGGCTGATTCTTCACATTACAGGGCTTCGCTAGTTGTGCTCTATTAGCAATATGGGCAGTTGGCGATCAAGTCTTCATCAGTGTCATGGGGGGAGAGGCGAGCTCACCCAGATATTCTATGGCGCATGCATCAACCTTGATTCCTCTGCGAGTTGGTTTCATGTATCTGGCTGTTGTTGTTCTCATTGGCATCATAGTCCCGTCTGACGATCCGCTTCTGCTCGGTGAGAGCGGTTCCGCCGCCTCTCCCTTCGTCATAGCAGCAAATAACGCCGGCCTCGCTGGCATTCCCGATTTCATCAACGTTTGCATGATAATTGGCATCATGGCTATCAGCTTGGAAGCACTATATCTTCCTTCTCGAATTATCCGAACCATGGCCTTGCAAGGACTTATTCCGGAGGTCTTCGCAAAATGCGACCAGAAAGGGCGTCCTCGGTGGGCTCTCTTGATTAGCTCAACTGTGGGAGTAGCTTTAAGCTACCTCAGTCTTAGCAGTCAGTGCTTGAGCCCAACCTTTGAGTTATGACTGATAGCTAACATGCGTTGCAGGTGGTGGAACTATGGCGTTGAACTGGTTCATCTCAATTACGAGTGCTTCATTTTTCACCAATTGGGCCATCATTGCCTTCACAAGCCTCAGATTTCGCGCAGCCTTGAGAGTACAGGATGACAAGCTATTCAACCAGACGTTCGCATGGAAGTCAAAGTTGTGGCCCCTTCCTGCGGTACATCTTCTGGTCGTGTCAACAATGCTCCTGGTCTGTCTGTTGTACGGAGCTATCTACCCCACCGTACGTTACCCACTAGGCTTTCAGTTGTAAAGCTTGCCTCAAGTCCGAGACTTGTTACTGATGTCAAGATGTTATCTATGCAGAACGGAGCAGGTTTCTCAGCTGAGAACTTTTTTGAAAACATGATAGGTTTGCTGTTGATCGTCGGGGCCACGATTGGCTACAAACTAGTAAAGCGCACGCGCTGTATTGGCCCTCAACAGGCGGACCTAACGACAGGGCGGCATGTCCTCAGCGATGGGGAAGTTGAATTTCTCAACGAATACTACAGCCGTCCGCTATGGAGACGAGCTATGACATACGTGTCTCTAGTTTAAGTCTAAGGCATCAGCTTGAGAAGTTTGATCTCCGAAGCGAGTGGATTTAGGTCACAAAGGATTGTGTGAGAGTAACAGAATCGGACAGGGCTTGAGATGCGTTGGCTCTTGCGGCATGAGACTCACACCTTAAGCAGCTTTACCTGTACTGCACATGCTTGACGATTTGCTTGCGAACGTACCTTTCCACAAAGTTAATTAACATCTGAATAGACATGACTTCATCCGCAATAATCAGCCTCAAGAATGCAAGTCTCATGCACATGTTACGTCAGCTGAACTGCCTATGTAGCATACGCTGCTGCAGAGGAACGGTGAGGCCCAAGACCCAGTTCAGGATATCAATCGTACGGTCATTTTTCAGAGGGCTTCATCCGGTTTGATAAACACATCAGCGATCTCTCAAACCCAGCGAATAAAGCCAAGGCAACGTATAATTGGCTTAAGGCTCAGATTTCTTTTATCAAGGCTTCATTTCGCTTTGGGCATAGACACACTTTGTACCGGGAATCTCGGAAGGAGTCGGAGTACTCGTCGGAGTTCTCAGTGGGAAGCAAACCTCGGTATGGCGACACCCCTGAACTGCTGCGCCGTATTCGGGCACACCCCACTGGCGAGGATAGAAAAAGGGTACTCCGGCTTCTTGCCTCATTTTCGGTTTTTACATTTTGTTTCGAGGCGCGGGCTGATCGGTTTGTCTTAAACGATGCCTCACAGCGAACCAAGATGACATCTTTCGTGCCACGGTCCGTTCTGCCTATCTTCAATATGCATCCATCGTGACAACCCTGCCTTGATCTTCCACGACCACATATGGTCTGCGTCTCACACGTGTTCATCAAATGCTGTGCGCCTACCTCATTCGGTGGCAGACGAATAGGCATTTGTGTTGTCGGGCCTCCTCTCCGCAACAAATGCCATGTCATGCATCTCCAGGACATGCATTAGCGGGAAACCGGGAAAGTTGGATGCGTTTTGATTGCCGACACTTCTGCATTTTGTTTTGTTGTGTGAGATTCCGACGCCATACGGCGAGAGCGAACACTAATGGTCTCCTCCCGCATTCTGGTCCATTATTCATATTTGTGAGAAATGCTGATGAATTTCCGTCACAAACGCTCTTAGGGGCATAGGAGTCCAGCTTCATTAAGAACTTTTCAGAAAATGGGCTAGCACGCTCCCCCTCATTAGCACGATGGGCTAGCAACAAGGGCCACTTTCAACGCTCGATTCGAGCGTATCGATGCTGTCAAATGATTTCAGCTGAAATTATAAATATTCATCAGCAGTTGAATCGTATGTGGCGAGCATAGAGCTAATATGCCTAAACGATGTTCCAATCGCGAAGCATATGCACTTCCCATTGATATGTAACCAATTTCTTCTTTCGAACGGGAAAGTACTCCAGTTGGTTTTAGTACTTTCCTATGCACTTTAGAAGAAGGTGACTGTTTATATTTAATTCAATGACTAATAAACATGATGTTTGCATTTCCGCCCTGGGTAGTGAAGCTCTCGTTGCCGTCAATTTTCTACTCGAATTTCTCTGGGATCTGGACCTCTCTGTGGCCTCGTTAGCTCTCAGCTCTCCCCCCCCCTCCGCCGCGGCATCTCCGGGGAAGGCATTAGCGCCTTGTGCAGAAACGACCGCTGGCTTTGTGATTTGCGAACCACTTATGGGCAAAGCTCCAGCCCAGTCAACAAGGCATCCTCGGCCAGGCAGAAGCCTGCCGTCGAAGGATCAAGTACCATGCATATGGCAAGCCAAGTGGGCTTGATCATATCCTGTTGACTGACCAGATTGCACACTGATGCCCAACGGACGATGCGAGGCGAACATGAAACTGATTTTGGGCTCATGAGAAAGAGCACAAGCCGTCAGTGAGATCTTGTTTGAATGCTATGACTCGTTTGACGATTTTGCCAACACAACCCGGAGCGATAATTGGTGTATCTATGGGGATACCATGCATTCCAATTGTTGGGCTCTGAACTGAAAGAACATATAAGTTCATAGACTTACCTCTCGCTTTCTCGTCGACGCCTCGTTGAACTTCAAAGGCTTCAAGCGCACGATACGCAACCATGGTTTCCCGAAAGTCCCACCGACAGTCCCGATCGGGTACACAATCTTCCTCCGATCGCGATTCTCTCCCTCATAGTTGCCGATATGACGCCTTCCCTAGCACGACCGCAGACCACTCTAATCCAGATAACTCTGCTGAGCTTGACCCGAGATCCATCGACCCCGATTCGTATGTCGAAGAAGCCTCGGGCACACTCGAGTCACCCCACACAGCACTGCCATACTATGTGCACCCTTCAGACCAGACATACGCCAATCAGCCCGCACTGCATCACACAGAGGATGGCCAGGCTGCCATGTCTCAAATTCCGCCGCAGTCCGAAATGGTGTACCGAACCCGTCCCGTGTACGGGAGCCCCAACTCTGGTTACTACCAGTACCACGCCAGTCAGGTCAATCACGCCAACGGCCCATACTCTCACAACGGCTTTTACACACCAGTCTCATCAGACCCAATCGCAACATCCGCAACCGTATCAAATTTATCACAGTCCCCCAGAATGAAAAACGCTCTCGATCACATCGGAGCCTGGGATGACAATCCTCAGGCCTCCGACTACCCTGCATCACCTGAACCCGAGCGGGGCCGGAAAGAGCGAAGGCGATTAAAGTTTTCCAATCTTCCCGGAAGGTCGAAGAAGACTGAGTCAACGGAGCGGGAGCGGTCTACCAGGTATGAGGCCCACCACTTGGTAGTTGCCGCATGACATGGAGATTTAGTGCTGACAGCAATGTAGTCGAAACGTTGAAAAGAGGAACAGGAGAAAGAGATGATTTGGACAAAATAAATTCCTTTAGTCTTTACGGCGCCGTGAGAAAAGCCGACGTCATTGGTTTTAAACTTGCTATTCAGTAGAACTGTCATGAGCGGAACCAACGATGAAAGCAAGAAGAGGATATACTTGGTTCCATGCGTGGCAGTCTCTCACTCATTTTCAGCATCAGTTTCAAACTTTTTGTTACTGTTTTCTCTGGTGTTCGCACATCTCATCGTTCTTTTTCGGTTTTGGTGGCATTTCTTTCGTCGATTCGCTTAGAGAAAATGTAACAATAAAATTACACTCGCTCAGATAAAATCAACATTCAGAATAATAGAAATTGAGTTTACAATAGTCATGGCGTTGTAAGAATCAAGAGTTTTGCAGAGAAATTACAAGGACGAGTTGGGGACTTGTCCTTTCATGAGACGCGTTGAAGCCGTTGAGTATGTTCGATCCTAGCCTCATCTCGGCGCGATTTGCCAGCGTCTCTCGAGCTAAAAACCTTAAGGCTTGATCTTTGCACATCACTGGCTAATCAATTATAGTTCGTCGGATGATTCCACGGTTCATCAAGATGACATGGTTCAGTGGACCAGTAAAATGGGGCATTGAGGTGAGGCGAACGTCTGTCGAACCCTGTCCCGCCCTGCCAACTTCTACTCGTTCTTTGCAACGAACTCTGATGAGTGCATTCTACCATTGGCTGAGGTTTGAATCTTTCTGATTTTTCCGGCGGGCCAATCATGCGTGTCTAGAGCGATAGTCCATTCAAGGCCCCCGAAAACAACTTCAACTGCTTAACCCCCCTCTACCACTAGACTAAAGGCCATTTCGGTTCCGAGTCTAGACATTCTTGCTGTGTATTACGGTTTATATAGAGATCTGAAAAGCTGGTCTGGCTCGATGTGATTTTAAGTTCCGGTTGGATGAGGATGCGTCCATCCATGGTCCTGGACATCACGCCATGCGAAACGTGCAAGCCACCCCCCCTGAAACATTTGTTCCCCATATTCGAGAGCACCAAGCAGATCAAATTGATCATGTGATTCATCGCAAGCAAGATAGTCAGCTCACTCGACGTCGTAGATATGCGAGGCTGACGACACGACCCGGTCGTGCTTGATCCCAGACAGGGGCCCAGCAAAGGCACCCAATCTTCACCGACACCAGATCAGAGTGTCAAATTCGCTCCACCTGTGCGGTTGATGTGTTGTCTGATTAGAGTTTTAGACTTTTCCCGGTGCGGAGAGTCATACTATTATTGGCAAAACGGCCCGTTCTAGCGTGGTCATGGCCCACTGGGCATAGCGACTAGTCAGGGGCACCCGTTCGGCTACCGAGTAAGTAAGAATGTGCACAGATGTACGTTTCCATTCCTGAATTTCAGAAGAGGAGCAGATAGGTTGTGGATACAGAGTCTCGCCACTCATATCAAGACTAGAAGGCAACTTGTGATTGCCATGGAACTACGAGGCATGGCTACTCTCAAGTCTCGTCAAATCGTCTACCCTTACCGGTCTATAGATTTCCACAGTAGCCGCTAAACAAACTACTAGTGGTCAAATTAATCTCGGTTCAACTTTTCTTTGACACTTCAGCAACTGGATGAAAGTGCTCTCGGCAACTGTTCTCACGCTTTTGGGGGCTCGAAGGAAATTTGGGTGAACTTTTGAACTAAATTTCACTTCAATTCATCTCGCCAACATTTTTCAACATTGCTTGGTTTGCTAGACTGCAAGATGCGTGAGCTGCAGTTCATAGTTATCATAATCGAGATCCGGGTAACACTCGGCGTGTTCTGTCTGCCCCGGGCCCGCCCGGCCCCACAATGGGACCGGACCTGACGCCCGGTCCGGAGGTTGGGTTTCCGGTACCACGCGCTGTCTCAACTCACAGTCCGCACGAGAGGAAAACCTAGTGTCACCATTGACTTCCTCTGTGACACCAATCAACTCATCGATACTGCCGGTGCAGTCTTAAACCGATGTCGTTAACTTATTAGTACTCAGCCTGTAGGTTTTTCAACATGAAGTTCTCAAGCTACATAGTTCCAGCTTTTCTTTTCGATTTACTACTTTTAGAGTATGCGTTAGCTTTTCGAATTAAAGGGCCCTTAATCTGAGACTACAGCCTGTATGCTCATAACATATTCTTGTGGTGAGGTGATGTAATATGCATTTGTATGCGGGTATTCTCTCAACTCGTTTTCAGGCAACGGCACCGTTCTTTAGGGCATCAGAGTATGCTTTGTTACTGAATAAGCCTATATTCTTGTGAAATACTCGACCGAGCCGCGTGGCATGACTTGCATCCAACAGCACTGCTTCGATTGACATAGCAGTGGCCCTTCTCCAAAGGTCAAGCGTCCTATCCCGGATTGGCATATCTACAATCAGTGGGTCAGCATAGTTTTCTCATATCTCAAGCATTAGCCAGGTGAGGCTTTCTGTGGTGCGACGATAGCGAAGTTTCAAGTTCGGTACTAAAGGATGAGGGATTTCGCGGCCAGCTGAGCTCTGTGGGCGAGTGTGGGCGTGTGAAAAAACAAGGAAACATTGTGCCCGCCCTGTTCTACGACGATCTACCGGCCACTAACCTCTGCTTCTGCCTTGCAGGTCTAGAATGCATGAAATTTTTGTCCTTGGCGCTACAGGATTGCGTTACTTCCACTTCTCATAATGGGTCTGGGCATGAACCAGTCATGAGTGGTTTGAGAGCCCGTACGAGTTCTAGAGCTTTTCCTCAGGGAGGCATATTTGAGGCAAAGAACGAATTGACTGGCTCTGGTACTCTTTCAGGTCCCTTTTAGTGACGAGGCAGACATCCGCATCCGAGGAAGTGGATATGCTAAACGAATTGGGCGTCCGGGATGGTCTGGTACATGCCAACTCATCACCATGTGTCTTGTCCAGACTCCGGTCCCAGCTAACATCCCGGGCGAGCGAGGTAAACCTAGTAGAAGCTAATGGAGGAGGGGTGAGAGTAACTCAAACTGGTCTAAGATAGTGGAACCATACCACGGTGGACTGTGGTGTATCCATGGAACTCTACTCAGAGAGTGACAACCTTGGCGCCGTTAGGGAAGTCTGCCTTCTTTTGAATGCTGCCTGCAGCCCAGCGGTATGCCCTGGGCAGAGCTACCTCGATTACCATTCGGTCAGAAGTGTGGGCAAAGCGAGGCGGTCACGAAACCCTGCCCCCATCTTCATTGGCACTGGCAATCATAGAACGCCTCATGAGGAATCCTGGGGTGTGAATATGAGACTCTTCATGGATGGTGCCGTCACAGCCACAGCAAAGGGCACACATATGGCCCTGCCGTCTCCACTGCGTATTCACAGGGAAAGAAGAACAAGCTCAGGCTTTCCAAGTGGCCGTAGTCACCGGACACGTCGAGCTAAGGCCCTCAACTGCCATATCAACGTAGCAGATTCCCGGTCCTGTCCTAGTCCTGCTGATTCAGTTATTAACCTAAAGCTACTTGATACATATAATGGGCTGCTGCTACAGCGTAGCTCTCGACCCCAAATATCATCCCTCCATCTCTGATCTTGTGTGTGTGTGTGTGGGTAGGTGAGAATGATGCAACCAAGAAATCTCAGCTTAGAATCGCTTGAAGGCGGTATCCAGCCACCACCTGTAAGCCATGTCTCAAAAGTGGTGAACCAAGGTTCAGCGATGTCAGTACAGCACCATTTATAAATGTTTGCTCATCTAAACCAACGCACAGGTCTTCTCCCAAGGATGGACAAGCGGAAGTCACCACGCCTGCAGCGAATGCAGCGAATGCAGTGTGGCAACCTTCCACGACCATCATTCAGTTTGTGGAGGAAAGACAGAGCGACTAGTGGAAGCTTGCATATCGCACCACTGCCGAGGAAGCAATCGAAGAAAAGAGGCAAGCAGTCGAGAAAACCTTGCAGGCCGTATGTCAAATCATCTGCGGATATGATCCCTCCACATCATTCAATGACGGGGGAGACAAGCAAGACATCGATCCTGAACCTCCTCAAGAAGGTCAAGAACCCCAGCTTTCAAGTCAACAAGGCTGGAAAAGAATATGAACTTTGGTTCTGGTGAGGAAACCCTCCCAGCTTACAAGAAATCCACTGACAAGGTTGATCAAGCACCTGCGACATCCATTCCACTTCATACCTTCCTATTCTAGGCTTCAGCTGTAGTCCTTCGTGCATGGGGTCAGCAGCCTTCTCCGAAAACGAAAGTCCACCGCACCACCAGACCGTGCCGGCCGGAATGCGACATATTAGGATACAGCGGGGGCCAACAGCAAGGATGAGCAGGAAGTTCCGAGCCAACTTTCCGGAGAAACGATGATGGGGGCTAGTTTCTTGGACAGTGATCCGCAATAACGGAACCCGAACAGATCTTCTAAAGATCATCGAACCCATGGGCCTGGAACCAGGCGGTGTCCTTCCAGCTATTTCCGGCGGTGAATGCTTACGATCGGTGCTTTCTCGGGGGTGAAACATGCGAACACAAGGGATTAGGACGGGGGTAGCAGTCGCTTGTTGGTAGGGAAATCATGGGAATTGGCGTGGGACGCTGTGCCTCCGGGGCCGATCCTTCACCTGAGACGGTGTACAAGACGCAGGCTGTCAATATGCTGGCGAATCTCTTCCACTGCAATCTCGGATGGGAATGGAGGAATTGGCAGTGTATCGGACCGGTTCATCATACGGCTCTTGGACAATGGTATTGAGTTCGGTGGTTACTAAAAGTTGAATTACGAGCATTAGCATTCTGCGACGGTGCTGTCAACAGGCCAATGTAAGCGAAAAGATCTAATTTCTCTTTCTCGAGGGCTTCTTGGAATGATTGACAAGATGGCTAGGGAATTAGCTTGAACACCGGTCAATTCGTTTTCCCCGCTCGATGTTACACTGCTGAAGAGTGAGACTCCATCTTAGACATGCATGGCCCCCTCAGCTCTTGCACAACTAACGAGGGCAGTCTGGCGCCAAAATTGACCTTTCAATGGCCTGAAGCTTACGG